TGATGTTTTTGGGGAGGGGAACATTAGTCGCAGTTTGGTGGATATAGGATTTCAGTCATGCTGGATGAGACACTTCTAGAGATATGCTGTACATCAACGTGCATATAGGTAACAATCACGTACACTTAAAATTTTGTTAAGAGGGCCTTTCACAAAATGGCACCAAAAGCAAGAAAGGAAGCTCCTGCCCCTCCTAAAGCCGAAGCCAAAGCAAAGGCTTTAAAGGCCAAGAAGGCAGTGTCGAAAGGTGTCCACAGCCTCCACAGCCACAAAAAAAAGATCTGCACATCACCCACTTTCTGGCGGCCCAAGACACTGCGACTCTGGAGGCAGCCCAGATATCCTCAGAAGAGCGCCCCCAGGAGAAACAAACTTGACCACTGCTATCATCAAGTGTCGGCTGACCACTGAGTCTGCCATGAAGATAGAAGACAACAACAAACGTGTGTTCGTTGTGGATGTTAAAGCCAATAAGCACCAGGTCAAACAGGCTGTGAAGAAGCTCTATGACATTGATGAAGCCAAGGTCAACACCCTGATTCGGCCTGATGGAGAGAAGAAGGCATATGTTCAACTGGCTCCTGATTACAATGCTTTGGATGTTGCCAACAAAATTGGGATCATCTAAACTGAGTCCAGCTAATTCTAAATATATGTATGTCTTTTCACCATAAAAAAAAAAAATTAAGAGGATACATCTCACATATGCGTTTTTCACAATAAAAAAAAAAGAAAGAAAAGAAAATCAATGTTCCATAGGTTAAAGTTTTGCCTTTCTCTTCCTGATTCAACTATGCCCTCTGGTGGTGATAGTTGCTAATAGAAGTAAAATAACTCCACTCCTTTATATCCTTTCCAAATTCATTTGTAGGTCAGCTGTGTGGAAGACAGAATAATTTCCCTGTAGAAACAAGGTTGTAAATAATGGCAGATGTTGCAGGACAACCCACCAAAACTCATATAAATCTTACTTTAAATAGTATTGATAGTAGCCCTATGTCACTTGATTTACACCCTCCTTCCTCTGCCCGCGCTCCTTGTTGGCAAAACAAATGAAAAATCCCATATCCACAGTCACTGCTACTCTGTCCCCATCACCATTAGAAGTAGAAAGAGAAATGAGAAGGGAAGAGGATTCGTGCTTCAGCCAAATCTAACATCTTTATTTATAGGCATGCCTTCTGTCTGGAAACGCCACACCCTCCTAGGGCCTTCAAAGGAGTGGACCACCTAGAAGAAAACTTAAAGGTCCTCTTTGCCTCTTTCAGAATCTTGGGGCAAATATTAAGAAAATTTTGCATTCTTCTCTCTTGCTTAACCCCTAGTCCTTAGCTCTCTAGGGTTTCACCATGTTGCCCAGGCTGGTCTTGAACTCTTGGATTCAAGCAGTCCACCTGCCTCAGCTTCCCAAAGTGCTGGGATTACAAGTGTGAGCCACTGTGCCCAGCCAATAACTCCAAAGTCAAAGTCACCAGAGTCTCCAGAGTCAAAGTCACCTTCTAAGTAGAAGGCAACAAAAAAGAAAAAGAAGGCCAGAAAAAATAAAATGGAAAAAAAAAACCCACAAATAAACAAAAAAAAAACTCTCTTCTATCCAAGGTCTGCTCATACCTGGAGATCTCTCCAGTGTATAACCAATAAATCTCCAAAGACCTCGTCTTTTCCCAGCTTTATAAAACTTTCCCCTAGTCCCTTCTAGGCTGGCTGGAAGAAGGAAGGGATGAGGGAATGAACAATCCCAGTCTAGTTGGTGTAAATCATATTCTATTAATGCTTGCTTGCCTTTTTTTTTTTCTCTTTTGAGACGGAGTCTCACTCTGTCACCCAGGCTAGAGTGCAGTGACACGACCTTGGCTCACTGCAACCTCTGCCTTCCAGGTTCAAGTGATTCTCCTGCCGCAGCCTCCCAAGTAGTTGTGATTACAGGCACGTGCTACCACGCTGGGCTAATTTCTGTGTTTTTAGTAGAGATGGGGTTTCACCATGTTGGCCAGGTTGGTCTCAAGCTCCTGACCTCAAGTGATCCACCCTACTCAACCTCCCAAAATACTGTGATTATAGGCGTGCGTCACTGCACCTGGCTCAACGCTTGATTTTCTTATGTGCTCAACTATTGTTTGTGTTGTATGATTCCCAGGAAGGGACAGGAATGACATGGACTGTGCTGTATGTAAATACTTTTTTTTTTGGTTGGTTGATTGTTTAGGCAGGGTCTCACTCTATCTCCCAGGACAAAGTGCAATGGCGCCATCATAGTTTACAAAATCCCATTTTGAAGGAACTAGAAAACTGTGGAATATTATCAAATACATTCAAAGTGACAAGAGGAAAAAAATCTGTATTATGATTTCAGTGACATAGGAAAAAAGAGCTGGAAGAGCATATAAACAAGTAAAAACACTTAGATTGCTTAGAATGAACTGATGTTAGTGCATTACTTAATTTGGAATTACTGAGCTGGGTGCAGTGGCTCACACTTGAAATCCCAGCACTTTGAGAAGCTGAAGTGGGTGAATCACTTGATTCCAGGAGTTCGAGACCAGTCTAGGCAACATGGTGAAACCCCATCTCTACAAAAAAATGCAATAATTACCTGGGCATGGTGGCACATGCCTGTAGTCCTAGCTACTCAGGGGGCTGAGGTGGGAGGATTGCTTGAGCCTGGGAAGTTGAGGCTGCAGTGAGTTGAGATCATGCCACTGCACTCCATGCACTCCAGCCTGGGTGACAAAGTGAGATCCTGTCTCAAAAAAAAAAAAAAAAAAAAAAAGGAAGGAAGGAAGAATTTGGAATTACCCTAACATTGCTATAATGCATAATTTTATTTAATAATAAATAAAAATATTGACTGTTTTACATTTGTCAAAATGCAAAACTTCAAAACTTAAGAGGTTTAACACAGCCCTTCATTGTTTCTCACAATTCTGTGGATTGGATGGGCAGTTCTTCTACAGGTCTCACTTGGGTTTTCCACGAGTTTGCTGTGAAAGGGCAGCTGGTGCTTTTCTGTGTGGTCTCTCCATACAGCTAATGTCATCCTCCAAGGCCTCTTTACATTATGGCTCGGAAACAGAAGCTGCCAGACCCAGACTGTCTTAAAGTCTGGAGTCAGAAATCCTAGAACTTTACTTCCTCCACATTCTTCTGGTCAGAATATCACAGGCTCAGCCCAGATGAGAGCAGAAGGACACAAACTTCACCTCTTTTTTTTTTTTTTTTTTTTTTCATTTTTTTTTTTTTAGACAGGGTTTTATTCTTGTCACTCCAAGGCTAGAGTACAGTGGCATGATCTTGCCTCATTGTAACCTCCATCCCCCAGGTTCAAGCGATGATCCTGCTTCAGTCTCCTGAGTAGCTGGGACTACAGGCATGCTCCACTACACCAGGCTAATTTTTGTATTTTTGGTAGCAATGGGGTTTTGCCATGTTGCCAGGGCTGATCTCTAACTCCTGATCTCAGGTGATCTGCCCACCTCAGCCTCCCAAAGTGCTGGGATTATAGGTGTGAGCCACTGCACCTGGCAAAACTTCACCTCTTGATGTGAGGAGTAACATGCAAATAAAGTGAGCTGGTATTGTTTGGAACATGTTTGGAGATCCGCTATCACATTGACTTTTTTAAAAAAACCATACTGGCCAGGAGCAGTGGCTCATGCCTGTTATCCCAGCACTTTGGGAGGCCGAAGCTGGCAGATCACCTGAAGTCAGGAGTTCGAGACCAGCCTGGCCAACGTGGTGAAACCCCGTCTCTACTAAAAATACAAAAATTAGCTGGGCATGATGGTGCGTGCCTGTAATCTCAGTTACTCAGGAGGCTGAAGCGGGGGAATCACTTGAACTCAGGAGGTGGAGATTGCAGTGAGCCAAGACTACACCACTGCACTCCAGCCTGGGCAACAAGAGCAAAACTCAGTCTAAAAATATATATGTATATATTCAAATGAGTCTGCCCTCCAATGCTCTATAGATCAGGAGTTCTACGAGTATAGTGGCTGGTCCTCAGATTGGTTCAAGAAATAAGGGCAGTACTTGTTAGTCTCTAAATTCTTACCCAGCTTTGTTACTTTAACAATAAATACCCCAAATCCTTACTGCTTGTCAGACACCGTGCTATCTGCTTACGTTTTCATTTAAATCTCCTAACACCTTATGCAGTAGGTTATATTATCTTTACTTTAACTGCAGCTTACAAATATTAACTTCCTAAGGTCCAAAACTAGTGCAGAACTGGAATTTAAACCATTTTGGTCTCAAAACCAGTGTTTATACCCCCTATTATATACATGAAATTTTAAAATTATAAATAATTCTATATATAATCATATATAATCTCTATATATTACTTACATTTTTGGGGGGATGGGGGTCTCACTCTGTAGCCCAAGCTGGTGTACAGTGGCATAATCTTGGCTCAATGCAACCTCCACCTCCCAGATTCAAGCGAATCACATGCCTCAGCCTTCCCTGAGTAGCTGGACCTACAGGCACGTGCCACCATGCCTGGCTAATTTTTGTATTTTAGTAGAGACAGGGTTTCATTCTGTTGCCCATGTTGGTTTCAAACTCTGTTGCTCAGGTGATCCACCCGCCTTGGCCTCCCAAAGTGTTGGGATTACAGGCATGAGCCTCTGTGCCCAGCCTATTTACATATATTTTTAAATAGTAGCGCTGATGACTGTGGGAGTAAGTAGGGGTAGTAAATGGCAATACTTGTATTATAAAGGTGGTCAAAGGGTTTAGAATCTTGACGCTGGCTTGAAAACTGTCCATGTATACTTGCCTTTTTTATAAGCCCTTTGATTCTTAAAAAGTTATGTATGTGATCTTTGTAGTAAAATTTTTCTACAATTAGATTTCCTGAAAAATAATTATTTTGTAGATAAGGTCAGTATTTAGTTAGAATATTAAATGTGTCTGAGCACTAATAGAGATGGATTATTCTGTGATTTTTCTTGCCTTTGACAACAATGCAAACAAAAAGCACACAGCAGAAAAGAATTGTGGTTGGATAATCCTTCAAAGTATTAGTTTCTGGTCCTAGACTGTGCAAATGAATAGACATGAGTTGTACAGAGTAGACTGAAGAAAATCAGGGTGACAAATATTCCACCATTAGCTCTCCAAAAAAACCGAGTTTAGCTGCACATGAAAAGATTCAGATACATTTTGACAGAGCTTTTGCTCCCAGAGATTAAATAAAGTAAGATCTCGGGGCAAAGAGAGGAGTGGGAGAGGAGTGGCAGAATCCCATGGGAAAGAAACCCCAAGCCCTCACCAGAGCCTGCACAGCTGCTAGCCCAGATCCAGGGCACTGCTTAGAAGCTGAGGCAGAGCTGAGTTGATCCTCTTGTCATCCTGTGGGTTCTATCATTCACCAGCACATCCTTTGTCCAGTTTGAGGTGATACTTGCCTGTGTTCCAAGAATCTTTTAATATGCATTTGATTGACTGTCTCTTGAAAATAATCCTCCATCTAATGGCCAGGACACTCAGAAACACCATTTTGCTCCTCTCTCTGCCCCCAAGATGGTGGTAGAAAATGGACTCCTCATTGGGAAATGAAGGAAAAGCCTTAGACACTTTATGGGGTGATGGCTGATGACAGGAAAGGGAAACTCCAGGTAAAAAGAAAGGAGGTTTACTTGCACTGGGTGCAAAATCATCCACTGAGCCGAGACAGCAGAGAAACACCCTACCCCATTTCAGAGTGTTAAATGTCTTGTCACAGGCAGAGAATGCCGGAGCTGGAAGAGAAGTTGGAGAACATCTAGTCCCACCCTTCCACATATCAGAGGAAGCCCAGAAAAAAATAGATGTGGCCTAGAAAAGGGTCTGACTTGCTTGAAGTCAAAGAGCTGATCATTTGGCTCTATCGGAACCTGGAAAAAAAATGTCCTAAGTGGACATTATCTCCACTGCCCAACACAGGCGAATCTGGCTTAAGAGTTCTTTCTTTGGAGGTAGATTTTTCTCTGATCCTCCCTCAAGTCATAGTAAGTTGAATGGAGAGTCCAGTTCCTATGTTCTTAGACATCCAAATTCAACAGGTCACAGTGATACCAAAGTTAAGTGTTTGTGGAATTAAATTAGTTGATGGCATAAAATACAGTGAAGACAAGTTTTTAAATGGTTGTGGGAAAGCCATAATTGCTTGTGGACAATTTACATTTCAGAGAGACTCTATGGGACTACACAAATTAGCCCACAGATGCCTGAAACAGAGTGGCACAATGCACTTAATTTTGTTGAAGTCCAAGTTTCTTTCACTGTGATAAAGGAGGAACTGACATTCTGTACAGCTATGTCTGTGTTGTGCTCATTCTTCCAAGAATACTTTGGTCACTAGAATTTGTCAGGTGGAGGAGGAGGGTGTCATTCTATTGCTCAGTATTTCTCAAATAGCCACTTTGTAACTTATATTCCCCACAACAGTTTATCTTAGGATGTTTTGTGGCTTCATGCCACTCACCATTATTACACCAGTGAAACTCACCAGATTATATTTTCTGTATTCACTCTCCATAGGCTTCTGTTCCCTTGATAGTTTTTTGTCTTAGAAACTTTTTTTTCTGGAGAAAAACTAACATTTAGCACCACTTTATGTACGTAAGGATGGATGTAGGTTTCTTTGTAGCAGATTTTAAAACTTTGGCATCAGCCCTGGTGGCTTCCGGTGCAGGAACTAAGAGACCCTTTAGTGTTCTACCTGGAGGTGTGGCTGGCTGACAAGATCTTGGGTGAGTGACCCCAGGCCCAGACCAAGCTATCATTCCAGAAATGTAGTGGACAAACTAGGCCCTGCTGATGGTGGACATAGTAGACTCTAAGAACCAAGTCAAAATCACAGTTTTTGGATGGCTCCATGTACAGAATCAGGTGAAGAGCCTGTTCCTGCCTAGTATGGTTTCACTGAGAACACTGTGCCTGAACTGAGAAAATAAAACATGCTTGAGAAGAACTTGAATGCCCGTGCCTCAGGCCCCCACACTCCCCAGCATTCTGTTGCTTAAGACAACAGAACTATTGTCAGGAGCATTTTGAGAACTTTCTTGCTTTTGCAGCTAAGGTTGAAGAGAAGCAAGCACAGCATTCCTAAATACCTGCATTCCTTTTTCCTGTGTCTTGATGGATAGTGATTTATTTTGCAGCAAGAGTGAGTTTGAAGAACTACTCTAATAAAGAAATGGGTCCTTTGCCCAATGGCATAGAGATCTTTGCACACTTATAATAAAGCAAATTTATTTTTAAAAATTTTAAACTTCTCTTAGAACGGTATTGATGGCACATTCCATTAAAATCTTTGTTTATAGGACTCAGAGATAGCCAGATATTAAACAAATCAAAAAAAGTTCCTCATGAATATTAAATTGACTCTTGATTAACATCTTATACTCTAATTAACATTGTATACATTGTTTCTATTCAACCAATTTCAGAACTTCATGAAAAAGTTGAGTGGTAGGTTGAGTAATGGGGTAACACAACGGGAGCCTTTTCTTCAAGGCTGGCATGTGAATAAAGTACCTGCAAATCATAAAAAGAAACAAAATAAGAGAGCTTTAAAAATAAGAACTTTCACATTGGTCACATCAGTACATTCACACTCACCGGCTAGGGTTGTTGTGTGTGGAAGTCTAAGCTATAAGACTTGGTCAGCATTTTCAGGCCTCCAATCTCCCCCATTTGTGACCTAGAAAATCTCTGACATGTGGACTGTCCTCACCACAGTATAAGCAAAGGCTCCTGCCTTTTGGTTTATCAGGCAATGCACAGTGAGGAGCTGAAATGAAAGTGTCAAGCTGTGGTGACTACTAGGGCCAAGTCAAGAGAGAAGGGTACAGGTCATCCTCCGCCCTCAGTAAAACCCTAGCAAAGGCCAGAGGAAGAGGCAAAAATGAGAATGCCTTCAGCCATCCCCTTGGATGACTTAAAAGGATGGTTCTCAACCTGAGTGCACATTGGAATCGCCTGGAGAGCTTTATCTTTAAAATGCCACTGCCCTGGTACCGCCCCAGACAAACAAAAACAGAATTTCTACATGTGAGACTGGGTTATCAGCATTTTTTAATAGGTTGAGTATATCTTATCAAAAATGATTGTGATCAGACATCTTTTGGATTTCAGATTTTTTTCAGACTTTGGAGTATCTACATTATACTTAAGGGCTGGGCATCCCTAATATGAACGTGTGAAATCTACATGTGAAACACCACAATGCGCATTTCCTTCAAGCATCATGTTGGTGTTCAAATGATTTTGGATTTTGGAGTGTTGTAAATTTTGAATTTTTGGATGCTCAACCTGTAGTTATTCTGGTAATTCTAATGCAAAGTGAGTTTAAAACACTCGTTTGAAACAAGAATCCAAACCTAAATGGCCACCAGTAATGTAATTTAGGGGGGTAAGAGTAAGCAAGAGAGAGGAGATGGTAGCAAACTAAACAGTACATGATGCATCTAAGGGGGTAGCTACAGTTGTCACCTACAACTGCCTGACTGTTGTCACCTACAAGTGTGACACCACTTTGCCAGTTGTCCTGGTTTTTGGATGTTCGTATATAAGTTTTAAAAATTGGGTTGTATGATGCATGCTACAATGTGGATAGCCTTGAAAACATTAAGCTCAGTGAAAGAAGTCAGACACAAAAGGCCACATATTATATGATGCATTTATATGGAATGTCCAGAACAGGCAAATCCATCACAACAGAAAATAAATTAGTGGTTTTCAGGGGTTGGGAAGAGGAGAAAATGTGGTGTGATTGCTTAATGGGTACTGAGTTTCTTTTGAGGTGATGAAAATGGTGTGCAGTTAGATAGTTATGATGGTTGTAAAATATTGTGAACTATATTAAAAATGCTGAATTGTATATTTTAAAATTGTAAATTTCATGTTATGTGAAATTTACCTTACTTTTTTTTAAGTGAGGAGGTACAGGAGGGAAGAGATGGGAACTGGGTTGTTCGGACCAACTTAGAGCCAAACAAATCCCTTTTATGGAAGTTAGAATGGAACACCTCGTGGAAGACAAAAAGTCCGTGGCTGGGTATGGTGGCTTACATCTGTAATCCTAGCACTTTGGGAGCCCGAGGCAGGTGGATCGCTTGAGGCCAGGAGTACAAGATCAGCCTCGTCAACATGACGAAACTCTGCCTCTACAAAAAATACAAAAATTAGCCGGGTGAAGTGGTGCATGCCTATAGTCCCAGCTACTCAGGAGGCTGAAATGGGAGCGGGGGATCACTTGAGCCCAGGAGGCGGAGGTTGCAGTGAGCCGAGATCACAGCACTACACTCCAGCCTGGGCGACAGAGTGAGACCCTGTCTCAAAAAAAAAGTATAAATTGGGCTGAAGTTTTTTAAAAAAGACAGTCTAAGGCCGTAATATATGCTTCTACATCCTTTTCATCCAAACAAATGGCAAAGGTATGTCTGTTGTACCCTTTTCATCTAAAGTCAGAGACAACCTGGGTTTTCTCCTTAATAGGTGTGATACAGGGCTGCACTGCTAAGTGCACTTTGCTTTGCCAGCCTATAAATAGAAATGGAACCCCTGAGGTGCAGGAGAACAGGCTGGCGGGTGAAGCCAATGCTGGCTACTGCTCTTTCTTACTGTTCTGTTACTGAGAGGGGTACAAACAAAACCCCTGATAACCATGTTCATTAATTGTTACTCCTTTATCAATTGCTTCTGTGTAGTAACTCAACTGTAAGTCACAATCCATAATTTATTATTCTCTTCAGTGAAGTTTATTACACTTATTGTTTTTGAGACAGAGTCTCCCTCTGTTGCCCAGGCTGGAGTGCATCAGTGTGATTTCAGCTTACTGAAATCTCCACCTCCCAGGTTCAAGTGATTCTTCTGCCTCAGCCTGTCAAACAGCTGGGATTACAGGTGTGCAGCATCACATCCAGCTAATTTTTGTAATTTTAGTAGCAATGAGGTTTTGCCGTGTTGGTCGGCCTGGTCTCACAGCTCCTGACCTCAAACACTCTGCCCACCTCAGCCTCCCAAAATGCTGGGATTACAGGCATGAACCACCACGCCCAGCCAAGTTTAATATTCTTAATTACTCACAACAGGTTAAAATTGTTACTACCTCTGTGAGATGCAGCTACAATAAAGACAATGAGTGACAAACCGTTCTTCAAAGAGAGTTTGATGTTTCACTTGTCTTTTCTGGCCTGGGAATATACTTCAAATGGCAATGGTTGAGGGTAGTGGGCAGGATTTAAAAAAAAATGGCAGTGGTTCTCGGAGGTCCCCAAAATCCTACCATTTTCACAAATCAAAGTGAAATGTTATCAAAAACAAAAATAGAATTCCCCATAAATACCTAATCTTCTAAATATTGGACCATGTTTCAGGTTGGCATGAACTCAGAAATGAGTGGAATCTTACTGCAGATTAGATTCAGACTTTTTTTCTTACCTGAATTCTTCTCTGTAGTTATTCCTAATATACTCAGCTAGAGTCCTGCTGTGCCGCAGACAGCTCTTGAGGATGTAAAATTGCTGGTACAACAGAACAGCTTGGCAGGGACTTAGCAGCTGAAATGAAGCTGAAAGCCCCCTCACCACTTGTTTCACAATACTGGCCACAAAAGTAATCTAGACAAGGAAAATGCAGTTATATGTAGGCTGTGTGCCACCAAACACCACTGTTGCAATCTTCCTCATGGAAATGTATTCAATGTCAAATAAAAAGTATAGGAGGGAGCCGGGCGCCATGGCTCATGTCTGTAATCCCAGCACTTTGGGAGGCCAAGGCAGGTGGATCACGAGGTCAGGAGTTCGACACCAGCCTGACCAACATGGTGAAACCCTATCTCTACTAAAAATACAAAAATTAGCTGGGTGTGGTGGGGTGCACCTTTAATCCCAGATACTCAGGAGGCTGAGGCAGGAGAATCGCTTGAACCTGGGAGGTGAAGTTGCAGTGAGCTGAGATCATGCCACTGCATTCCAGCCTGGCTGACAAAGCAAGACTCCATCTCAAAAAAAAAAGGAGACCATTGCTTTGGACTAAGGTTCTGCAGTAAGCCCCAACACACCAGACTAAAAATCAAAAGGGAGTCTCCCATGCTAAAGTTGTGAAACCATCCCATAAACTTTATTTATTTATTTATTACTTTTATTTTTTGAGCTGGGGTCTTGGTCTGTCACCCAGGCTGGAGTGCAGTGGTGCGATCTTGGCTCACTGCAACCTCCACCTCCTGGGTTCAAGCGATTCTCCTGCCTCAGCCTCCAGAGTAGCTGGGATTACAGGTGCATGCCACCACGCCCAGCTCATTTTTGTATTTTTAGTAGAGAGAGGGTTTCACTATGTTGGCCAGACCAGTCTCAAACTCCTGACTTCAAGTGACCTGCCTGCCTCAGCCTCCTAAAGTGCTGGAATTACAGGCATGAGTCACCATGCCAGGCCCAATAAACTTTACAAAATTAATCAGGGAAGAAGGGAGGGGAAATTAAAAAATAAACCAAGTTTGCACCACATTCAAGCATTAACAATTAGGCCAGCTTGTTCTGACCTGCCTCCTTACACTTGTTTGATGGCTGTCGTTCTAGGATCATGTAAACTCCAGATTATAGTCACCCTTAACTGTCTATAGACAACAACCTGAACATCGTGAAACATTGTTTTCCCTTTAAGATATTCTTTCAGGTCTCACATACCAGTGAAACTACCAATGCCAGCTGGTCTGAAGGACCCCCATGAGAAGTGGACTCACCAAAGAATGTAGTTTCCACATCTTGATGATTCCATCCCACTTACCCCAACCAATTAATGACCTCAACTTTCCAGCTCCTTGTTCTCCAAAATCCCCTAAAAGCCCCAGCCAAGAACTCCCCAGGGAAATGGATTGAGGGTCTCCTGTCTTAGTTTCCTCATTCAGCTACCCTGTGATTAGTAAACTCTTTCTCTACTGCAAACCCCTCTGTCTCTGCATTGGTTTGTTACTGCACAGTGGGCATATGAACCTGTTGGTCTTATAACAGTTTCATGTCACCAAATCCAAACTAAGTTGTCATCTGATCTTCAAAGAAGTCAAGAGACAGAAATAACAGCCAGTTTCCTAAGCAGGCCAATTTAAAGTCTTCAATCAGGCCAGGCATGGTGGCTCACATCTATAATTCCAGCACTTCAAGAGGCCAAGGCAGGCATATCACTTGAGGCAGGAGTTCAAGACCAGCCTGGCCAACATGGTGAAACCTCATCTCTACTAAAAATACAAAAATTTGCTGGGTGTAGTGGCACTTGCCTGTAGTCCCAGCTACTCGGGAGGCTGAGGCATGAGAGTCAGTTGAACCCAGGAGGTAGAGGTTGCAGTGAGCCAAGATTGTACCACTACACTCTAGCCTGGGCCTCAGAACGAGACTCAGTATCAAAATATAAAAATAAAGGCCAGGCATGGTGGCTCACGCCTGTAATCCCAGCAGTTTGGGAGGCTAAGGTGGGTGGATCACCTGAGATCAGGAGTTCAAGACGAGCCTGACCAACATGGAGAAATCCCATCTGTACTAGAAAAATACAAAATTAGCTGGGCAAGGTGGCTCATGCCTATAATCCCAGCTACTTGGGAGGCTGAGGCAGGAGAATCACTTGAACCCAGGAGGTAGAGGTTGTGGTAAGCCGAGATTGTGCCATTGCACTCCAGCCTGGTCAGCAAGAGCAAAACTCCATCTCAAAAAATAATAATAAAATAAATAAAACCTTCAATCAGCATGATAATGAAGTTCCCTCTCCTTTAATCCTTACATAAAAGAAGTAGCCTGAAGTAATCTGATACAAACTAATCAGTTACTTTTCTATTTCTCTGTCTCCCTGTCCCTGTCTCACATATGACTAATACGCTTTGTTCTTTGCTTTTGCTTTCTTCAGCCCTTCTTTGTCTATAAAGCAAACCCTTTCTTCCCAGTGCATTGAAACACTTATTCTCTCTTATGGAATGAAGGGTTGCCCAATTCCAGAATCACAAATAAGGCCAATTAACATTTTAAAACTAAAGTTGTAATTTTGTCTTTTGACATCAAAGAGCACCAGATCATAGACCAATTTGGGTTTACCAGTTGACCCTCTACAAGCAAGGTTAGAACCAATAGGGACTTGCAAGGAAGTTTGGTTCCAAAGTGGAAGGAGAACTTTGGAAGCAGGAATGGGGATGGAAGAAGAGCTCAGAAAGGTCTATGTCCTCCTCCAATAGGAAAGATAGTTTTTCTTCCCTTCTACAGATAAGAACAAATGGCCCGTATTGATAAGCTGCCTTTGCTTTTCAGACAAAGCTCCTACAAGGCAGTGGTTCTCAAATTTCAATATGCATAAAAATCACCTCAGCGATTCACTAAGAACACAAAATAGTAGGCCCTACCCTCCAAGTATTTTCCACAAACAATTTTGATGACTTTGTCCCAAGGAACACATTTTCAGGAACACATTTTGAGAAACACACAGCTCTAAGAGAGAAAGCAAAGAAAGCCAAGTGATGCTGATGCCACTGTACACTGGGGTTTTCATCAAGGGCACTTCTAGTGTCATTTCTCAGACAGAAACTAAGATGGGGCCAGGTGCGGTGGCTCACGCCTGTAATTCCAGCACTTTGGGAGGCCAAGGCAGGCAGATTACTTGAGGTCAGGTAAGGCCAGATCAAGATCAGCCTGGCCAACATGGTGAACCCATCTCTACTAAAAATACAAAAGCTTAGCCGAGAGTGGTGGCATACACCTGTAATCCCAGCTACTCAGGAAGCTGAGGCAGGAGAATAGCTGGAATCTGGAAAGTAGAGGTTGCAGTGAGCTGAAATTGTAACTACTGCACTTCAGCCTGGGCAACAGTGCAAGACTATGTCTCAAAAAAAAAAAGAGAGAGAACTAAAAAACAGGAACAATTGAATCATAGGTTGTTTCTGTTTGTTTGTTTCTGTTTTGCCATTTTCTTTTTTGGAGATGGAGTCTCACTTTGTTGCCCAGGCTGGAGTACGGTGGCACGATCTTGGTTCTCTGCTTGAACCGCCTCCTGGGTTCAAGTGATTCTCCTGCCTCACCCTCCTGAGTAGCTGGGATTACAGGTGTGTGCCACCACACCCAGCTATTTTAAAAATATTTTTAGTAGAGACGGGTTTTCACCATGTTGGCCAGGCTGGTCTCCAACTCCTGACCTCAGGTGATCCACCTGCCTCAGCCTTCGAAAGTATTGAGATTACAGGCATGAGCCATCGTGCCTGTTTTGGAATTTTCAAATTACTGTCCATAAAGGTAGGCTTGTGTGAAAAACAGAAAAGAACGCTAGTGCCCTTTCAAGCTCTAATCAACAGGTCACACTACACACCCATTAAATTAGTATCAGTAAAAATGTATTGCCTTTTCTATTGTAATATGTTGCAACTGGCCCTTCCCTACAGATAGAGAAAGTAGTTGGAAGTGGATTTTTCCCATTCCAGACCATTTACATATGTTGACAAAACATTATATATATTGATTAAACAGATACTGTCTGGCAAACACAGCTTGAGCTGAGAGAGTCTGTGGCAGCAGAACAGAACGATGTTAATTAGCCCATTTAGAAATTAACTTTTTAACTTTTCTAGAACTTTTCTCTAACCAAGTAAGATAATCAGAGCTGACTGACCTGCAGGTGCATAGCAATGATCCCTGTTTCTGTGCTTGCAAATTTCTCTCAAATGATATGTTTCTGCCCATACTGTTTAGAACTGGGTTAATATTGAAGCTTTCTTTTGCCAACCCTTCATCCTCACATGCTTCATGGTCACAGACTAGCCTCATTTATACTCAACCCAATTCCTTTGGTGAATCAACTTTAGAGGCTGATAAAGAAACTTCCTTTTAGCTAGAGTGCAGTGGCACATGCCTGTATTTCCAGCTACTCAGGAGGCTTAGGCAGGAGGATTGCTTGATCCCAGGAGTTTGAGATCAGACTGGAAAACATAGCAAGACCCCATCTCATTTTTTTAAAATTATTAAAAATAAATAAATGCAGCCAGGCATAGTGACTCACACCTGTAATCCCAGCACTTTGGGAGGCCAAGGTGGGAGGATCACCTGAATTCAGGAGTTCGAGACCAGCCTGACCAACATGGTGAAACTCCATTTCTACTAAAAATATGAAAATTAGACGGGCATGGTGGTGGGTGCCTGTAATCCCAGCTACTCGGGAGGCTGAGGCAGGAGACTCACTTGAACCCAGGAGGTGGAAGTTGCAGTGAGCCGAGATTACACCACTGCACACCAGCCTGGGCAACAAAGTAAGACTCTGTCTCCAAATAAATAAATGAATAAATAAATAAATACCATGCAGGAAAGCTTACATAAGAAATAAAAGTAATAAGTAAATAAAAAGAAACATCCCTCTTTGTGTGGTTTGCAAGTACAGATCCAGAAAAAGAAAAAAAAAAAAAAAGAAACTTCCCTGTTACATGGAGTCTGTAAAACTCTAGATTACATCAGTTCATGTAATAGGGTCTGCAACCACCACACTGAAAACTTAGGGTTCTTGTATCTTGCATATATGAGCTTCTGTTGCTCTGAATGTCTATAACTTTAAAACATTCTGTGAAGTGGTCTGAGATTGGTTGGGGCCTATGTGCTACTGAGGAAGACAAGTTAATGGGCTCAACTTCTGTATAAGGCAGCTGGCTGTTCTACTGACAAATGTACCCTCTGACCCCAGCCAGCTTTGTATAAAACATATGTCTTAGGGATCTGACAAGAGAGTCTGGATCCCATAGGACAAAACCAACATCACTCTAGAGAAACGGCAGAGGACCCACTGACGGTCAAAAGATGCATGTTCACATATGGAAAGAGAACAGGCTGGGCACAGTGGCTCATGCCTATAATATCAGCAATTTGGAAGGCTGAGGTGGGTGGATCACTTGAGGTCAGGAGTTCCAGACCAGCCTGGCCAACATGGCGAAAACCCATCTCTACTAAAAAAATACAAAAATTAGCCGGGTGTGGTGACAGGTGCCTATAATCCCAGCTACTTGGGAGGCTGAGGCAGGAGAATCACTTGAATCTGGGAGATGGAGGTTGCAGTGAGCCAAGATTGCATTGCCACTGCACTCCAGCCTGGGCAATACAGCGAGACTCTGTCTCAAAAAAAAAAAAAAATAGAGAACATATTACCTCGTGTCCATTAGCAGTAGAAATTTAGTTTAGATGACTTTTGAAGAGATTTCCAATTAAGCATTTGTTGACTGACTGCATAAGTTTGAGGTGGTGAGAAGAGATTAAGAGATAAAACCTTTACTAGAATTAATTCAGCAGATATTTTACTGAACATTTATTGTGTGCCTACACAACAGACATAGCTTCTACCCTCCCGGCACTGGCAGTCTGTAGGAAGAGAAAGATATTTTATCAGTCATGATGGACTAGATCATGCTGTGGTAACAAACCTCCCAGAATACCAATGCTTTGCTTAAAACAACAAAGGCTAGGTACTCATTCTCTCTGCATGTCCCGGAGGGGTCTGCCGGGCTCTGCTCACTGTAGTTACTCTCAGCCATCAGCAGGCAGAGCAGCCACCTTGTGGGTGCTATATGCAGAAGGAAAAGAGAATGCCCGGTGGCATATACCGGCTCTTAAAGCTTCTGCCCAGAAGTGACATAGGCCACTTCTGCTCACATTTCATTAGCCAAAGCAGCAACAGAGAGCCCCCCTAATTTCACATGGAGAGGGAAGTGCAGTCCCACCATGTGCCCAGAAGGAGAGAAAGAGCCAGAGTATGAGTGGGCACTAATGGCCATGACACGGCAGAACCAAATAATAACACAAACAAATGTGAACTGTAACAGTGACGAGGCCTGTAAAGGAGAGGAAGAGGACACCATGCCATGCACTATTTGTGCCCCTAATCAGCGACTCTCCCCTGTCACAGTGGACAGAGAAGCAGCCTCCACTTCCCCAGCCCAGAAAGAAGCTCTGAGGCCTGAGGGGTGAGTAGGAACTGAACAGGTGAAAAAGGGAGGGAGCCAGGTGCGGTGGCTCACGCCTATAATTCCAGCACTTTGGGAGATGGAGGCAGGCAGATCACAAGGTCAAGAGTTCGAAAACAGCCTGGCCAACATGGTGAAACCCTGTCTCTACTAAAAATACAAAAATTAGCCCAGTGTGGTGGTGGGCACCTGTAATCCCAGCTACTCAGGAGGCCAAGGCAAGAGAATCGCTTGAACCTGGTAGGCAGAAGTTCCGGTGAGCCAAGATAGCGCCATTGCACTCCAGCCTGGGCAACAGAGGGAGACTTGGTCTCAACAAAAAAAGTGGGGGAGGGAAAAGCATTTCCAATGGAGAGACAGATCCAATGGTGCAGGTACTGGGGGAGCTGGGAGGCAGGGGCGGTGGTGGGAAGAGGGATGGTGATCAAGAGACCCACACAGCAGGGAGGCTGAGGGATCAGAGGAAGCTGTCAGCCCTAGCACACAGGGCCCTGTAGGCTATGTTAAGGAGTTTAGTCTTTATTCGGAGTGAAAGTTGTGGAGAGATTTAAAGCAAGGGATGACAATTGGATTTTTATTTCAAATGGATTCCTCAGCCTGTAATCTGGTGGGAAGACAGACAGAGCATTGACATGTGAGTGTAGCACCAAGGAAAGAAATAGTGATAATAAGAACTAGGATGCTGTCTGTGGGGACAGAGTGCACAAAGGATCCCAAGTGTTAGATTCACACTCACTATTTAAGGTAAATGTTTCTCTTTTTACCTAATTATACAGCTAACAATTTAATATTCTGTTTTCTTTTTTTTTTTTTTTTGAGACGGAGTGTCGCTCTTCACAGTGGGATTTCACCATGTTAGCCAGGATGATCTCGATCTCCTGACCTTGTGATCTGCCCACCTCGGCCTCCCAAAGTACTGGGAATCTTAGAGTTTATCATGAAATCAAGTTCCCGCTTAAGATATAATTTCAGTGCCTTAAACATTCAGGCCCCAAAGGTGAAAACAATTTATTTCAATTAAATAATAAACTGTTGCCGGGCATGGTGGTTCACGCCTGTAATCCCAGGATTTTGGGAGGTTGAAGCAAGTGGATCACCTAAGGTCAGGAGTTTGACACCAGCCTGACCAACATGGAGAAACTCCGTCTCTACTAAAAATACAAAATTAGCCAGGCATGGTGGCGCATGCCTGTAGTCCCAGCTACTTGGGAGGCTGAGGTAGGAGAATCGCTTGAACCCAGGAGGCAGAGGCTGTGATGAGCCAAGATTGCACCATTGCACTCCAGCCTGGGCAATAACAGTGAAACTCTGTCTCAAAATAATAATAATAATAATAATAATAAACTGTCAAATTTACACTTTGCTTCTGGTTGATACACTTGATTACATCACTGGGAAAACGTGTGTTTTATTAATTAAGCACAAGAGTATCTGTATAATTAGGCCTGAGTGGTGATTTTGTTTTGACTTCTAGATACTTACAATGGGAGGACAACTTTGTAGAAAGGACATCATCCAGCTAATAGCAAACTTTGTGGATCCCAATCCAAGACTTCCCTAAAAGACTCAAGGAAATTAACAAGTTATGTTGGTAAAGTTCAAGTTGTATCTAGAAGGATACTCATTCTTAAATACATTTTTATCGTGATTAATCAAATCCTTAAAATCAGTTTTGGAAAATAAACTAGATGAACACTTAAGAGCAAAGGTCGTATCATTTAAATCAACCAGTTTTGGAGACCATCTCTAATACAAGCATTTTTGGTATATTGTTAATCATATACCATAATCATTTAATATACATATATCATAATATATGATAGTCATATAATTTACAGTCACACAATACATATAATTTTTAAAAACTGTACCTGTTGAAAGACAAGAAGTATCTCATATAAAAGGGCTGTAGCCGTATCTGTATACTCCAGAATAAGCTTCTGTAACTAGAATTTTCAAGAATAATCAATGCAATGTCATAAGCCAAGTCAGAAAATGATAATTTCCCTTGGTTCCCTTTAGGCACTTATAAAATAATTTTTTTTTTTTTTGAGACGGAGTTTCGCTCTTGTTACCCAGGCCAGAGTGCAATGGCGCGATCTCGGCTCACCGCAACCTCCGCCTCCTGGGTTCAGGCAATTCTCCTGCCCCAGCCTCCTGAGTCGCTGGGATTACAGGCACACGCCACCATGCCCAGCCAATTTTTTGTATTTTTAGTAGAGATGGGGTTTCACCATGTTGACCAGGATGGTCTCGATCTCTTGACCTTGTGATCCACCTGCCTCGGCCTCCCACAGTGCTGGGATTACAGGCGTGAGCCACCGCGCCCGGCCTTAAAATAATTTTTTCTTTTTCGAGATAGGGTCTCATTCTGTCACCCAGGCGGGAGCGCAGTGGTGTGATCATGGCTCTGTGCAGCCTCGAACTCATGAGCAAAAGCCATTCCTCTCATCTCTGCTTTCTGTGTAGCTGGGACTAACAGTGCAAGCTACCATGCTGGCTAATTTTATTTTTTAAATTTTTTGTAGAGATGAGGTCTCACTATTAGCCCAGGGTGGTCTGAAATTCCTGAGCTCAAGCAATCCTCCCACCTCAATCTCCCCAGTAGCGAGGACTGCAGGTATGTGCCACCACACCCAGGTAATTTTTTTCTTTTTTATTTTGTATAGACAGGGTCTTGCTTGTTGCCGAGGCTGGTATGGAACTCTTGGCCTCAAGTGATTCTCCCACCTCTGCCTCCTCAGTAGCTGGGATTCAGATGCAAGCCATTATTCCTGGCTGGTCCACAGAATACTAATACAAAAAATTGCATACATGATTTACAAAATCAATCAGATCAACAACCCTACTTTCTCTCAAGAATGTAAAAATATGCTCCCCAGAGTTGAAGTGAGAGATTTTCTGGGGAATTTACACTTATGCCCAAATTAAACTAAAATTCCTTCTGTGGTATGGATAAATAAAGGGCTTAGAGATATTTCATTGCTCTTAAGAATTCCAAACTCCTCTTTACAATAACTATCCCTTTTCTTATTTTCTTCATTTATTTATTCAACAAATATGCATCAGACACCGTGCTAAGTGTTGGGGATACAAGGGAGAACAACACAGACATGGTAGGTACCTGCTCTCATGGAACATAAAATCTAGTTGGAGAACAAACATCAAACAACCAAAGAAACAAATGCATAATTATAAACTGAGACAGTGGCTATGAAAGAAATGTACAGGAAGTTAACAGAGCTCTGCAGTACTAGTCTCATTTGGGGGTCAAGGAATGCTTCCCTCTGGCCCATATCATTCTTTACCTAGATTACTGCACTAGCTTCTTAATGCCCTGCCTATCTGAGTCTTGGTTCTACCCCACTCTTTAACCCCTAACCCACCATTGAAAGTGGTATTGGAAACTCTTCATATACAGTCTGTAATGATATATTCATTATTAACGTCTGTCTCTCCCAGCAGAGTATAAACTAGTAAAGGCAGGGATTGTGTCTGTTTTGCTTACTGTTTTGACTTAATACTGCCTAGCACACTGTTTGCTCATAATAGATGCTCAATAAATATTTACTGATTGTGGCTGGGTATGGTAGCTTATGCCTGTAATCCTAGCATTTTGGGAGGCCAAGGCAGACAGATCATTTGAGCCCAGGGTTTTGAAACCAACCTGGATAACATGGCAAGATCCTGTCTCTACAAAAAATAGAAAAATTAGCCAGGCGTGGTGCCCCGTACCTGTAGTTCTAGCTACTTGGGAGTCTGAGGTGGGAAGATCACTTGAGCCTGGGAAGTCAGTGAGCCGAGATTGTGCAACTGAACAGAGTGAAACCCTGTCTCAAAAAAAAAAAAAAAAAAAAAAAAAAATTACTGAATGAATGAGTATTCTAAACAATAACTCTGACCATATATTTAAGAACTATCAAATCATGTTCCATCCTTAAAAAAAAATCTGTTAGCCTGGCTCAAAATAAACTATTAATACTTTGTTTTATTCTATCAGAGGTATGCTTTCTAGGCAGTTTGATATTTCTAATGTTTTGGTACAACCTTAGAAAACCAAGTAACTCTTGCTGATAATTTATACTGTGTATATAGGTAGGGAAATGGTAAAGTATGAGAGTTAACCCTAAAATTTCTAAGACAGTGATTTTTTACCCATTAGACCCCTGCTATTCAATTACATATACATCATGTTTTGTATAGAGATAGACATAAACAGAGTTATCAAATTTATAAAGAATGATACTTAATATGCATACCTTAAGACATATAAAATGGATATATTAATATTGACTGAATAGTTATTTTTTTCTTTTTCTTGACCCTCTAAATCTACTTTAGACTGAATCGTTATCTAAATTTTGATGTTAATGACAAAAGATCTACTCTTTGATTTAATTATGTTTCTGTATTCTGTGATGACATGGTCCACATTAAAAGAAGCCAGAGCCCCTATATATAATAGTTTACCCCCAAAATTCTCATCTCACCTCAGCATCAAAAGACATTTCGACTAAAGCTGAATCAGCCACCAACTGGATATTAAACACGGGACAAGATTTTGGAATCTGAGGCTCGCTAATTAAAATTACCAAGAGATTCAACAGTGTTCCCCTGAAAAAAAAATAAGTGAAAGGCAATTAATGAGCAAAGTTTTGAGAAGAAAATGGTGAAGCTAAGTTTACAAACACTGAATATAATTGTGTTTAAAACAATGAAGCATTGTAGACCATCCTTGACTAAAGTTTTGGACGCTTGGACATGCAAATGAATGTCTAGAGATAAAAAATTTAAACGAAAATAATTTCTTGGTCTTCTGGCTCAGAGTGAGTATAGTTGTAGAAGTGTACATAGCTTGGAAAGACCAGAAAATCTGGATTTAAGGGAGATTTGGTTAATTTCAATTATAGCATTATTTTCCAAGGGGCTTTTTATACATTGCTAGTTCCAGACAATATTATAGTTAAAATAGATATTGTGGCCAAAGGAGATAGGAAAATACTTGGTTAAACCAAGTTCATCAGATGTGTTTACTACAGGACTTCTCATGGGCTTTTTTTTTTTTTTTGAAACAGAGTTTCACTCCTGTTGCCCAGGCTGGAGCGCAATGGCACAATTCTCCTGTCTCACCCTCCTAAGTAGCTGACATTACAGACATGTGCCAGAGGCTTTATATGCTAATATCCACTGTGTATCTCTGGAACAAAGCAACAGTATGCAGCCTTTCTTTTTTCTTAAGTTTGTTTGCTTGGGTTTTTTTGTTTTGTTTTGTTTTTTGTTTTTTGACATAGGATCTTACCATGTTGCCGGGGCTGGTCTTGAACTCCTGGACTCAAGTGATCCCCTGCCTCAGCCAAGTAACTGAGATTACAGACCTAAGCGACCATTCCCAGTTTTTACTTTTTAAAATTGATAATGAAAATTGTATATATTTTATATATTTAATGCATACAACATGATGTTTTGAAATGTGTATATCCTGTAGCATGTGTACATATTTTATCAATCAAGTGAATTGACATATGCATTACCACACATGCTTATTTTTATATAGTGAGAACACAAAATCTGTTGTCAGCAATTTTCAAGTATATAGGACATAATTATTATTATTATTATTATTTTTTTTTTTTTTTTTTTTGAGACGGAGTTTCACTCTTGTTACCCAGGCTGGAGTGCAATGGCGCGATCTCAGCTCACCGCAACCTCCGCCTCCTGGGTTCAGGCAATTCTCCTGCCTCAGCCTCCTGAGTAGCTGGGACTACAGGCATGCGCCACCATGCCCAGCTAATTTTTGTATTTTTAGTAGAGACGGGGTTTCACCATGTTGACCAGGATGGTCTCGATCTCTTGACCTCGTGATCCACCCGCCTCGGCCTCCCAAAGTGCTGGGATTACAGGCTTGAGCCACCGCGCCCGGCCTCAGCATTTCTTAAAATGCGTACTTGATGTCAAAAACCTCAGATCTTTTACTTTCCAATGTGGGGTACTATCCACTGATAACTCACTTAAATGTTACATGTGCATCCTCATGAACTGGGTCAATAACACTATCTCATATTGAGTAGTACAACCCCTATATGGTTGAAAAGGAGCTGAAGGCAGACTGCTAAAAACTCAGTTGCCTAACTGAAAACAATGTCAGAGTCGATTTGAGGGGTAGGAGTAGTAAAATAATTCAGATATAAGACTACACAAAAATTCTCCATAACCATAAGCATTCCTTCATAATAGAATAAAGGTGAGTGAGTATAAATATCCTTGTTTAGTAAGATTTGAGACTTTCTAATCTTTTTACAATCATTTAAATCATCACCATGATTAGAAGCTCATGATTAACCTACACTTTAATAAAAATACAATGTCCTTCCTTCAAGTCAAAAAGCAAGTCTAGTTCTTATATCTGGAAAGAAAAATCATGTCAGTTAGTACATTTCTCACAAAAGCAGGATATACCCTACAGGGTATTTAACAACGTTTTATTCAGGCTATTTAAAATGGCCAATCTTACTTTTAGAAGACACTTTTCAAATCAACAGAACACTCCCTTTAGAAGTGTTTCTTGATATTGTTTGAAGTGGCATTCCATTCACTGTTATATTTAATTACAGTCCTTTATTTCCAGTGACAGCTTATTTTCAAAGTATCATATGTCCAAGGCAAAGAAAAAGAACTCTCAAATTATGGGTTACTTGCTATGATAACATATGAATTCAACCCTAACAATACTAGGATATGAAAAAATATGGCACATTTCAAGAAAGTTACAGCAAAGTGTGTTGAACTAATACAATCTCCACTCATGAAAATAATAAAGAGGAAAATGCTGAAATGATTAACTGCTTTATTTGCCCAAATGGAATTTAATTTGAAATCCACCCCTTCTGCCAACTTAATTTAAAATCCACTAGGGCAATAATAGATAGAAGAAATTTTAATCGAAATGGTAGTTTCATCCTGAAAACAGAGATGACTTATAGAACTGACATCACAGCCTTAAAAATAGTCCCAACAGTTTAATACTATATTGTTTAGGTTATTATTTCCAATGTATGAATTTCAAATATATCTTTTAAAATACAGACTTTGAAGGCCACGTTCATAGTCTCCTAAGTCAGTCTATGTTATTGTGGTGGGCAGAAATCTAATGTGGCTTCCAAGATTCCCAGCCTGTTGGTACCTACCTTACCAAATTTCTTCCCCTTAAGTATGAGCAATACCTCTAGATATGTTTGTCTTATCACTCTTGTGATTATGTTGTATGAAATGGGAAAGGTGAAGGGATTCTGAAAATATAATAAAGGCCCCTAATTGGCTGACTTTTGAGTTAATCAAAAGGAGATTATCCAGAATAGGCTTGCCATAATCAGGTGAGCCCCGAAAAAGAGAGCTTAGGCCTTCCCTAAGCTCAGACATACTCTCCTGCCAAGAAACAAGCCACCTGAGTTTCACAGCTATAAGGAAACTAAGTCTGCCAACAACCATCCAAATGAGCTAGGAAGAGTCCCAAGCCTCAGATGAGACTATGGCCTGGCCAGCACCTCAACTGAAACCTTGTGAGACCCTGGGCAAAGTGATCCAGTTAAGCTGTGCCCAGATTTCTGATTCACAGACACTGTGAGATAAGAAATGCATGTTGTGGCCAGGCGCGGTGGCTCATGCCTGTAATCCCAACCTTTTGGGAGGCCAAGGTGGGTGGATCATGAGGTCAGGAGTTCAAGACCAGCCTGGCCAACACGGCGAAACCCCATCTCTACTAAAAACTACAAAAATTAGCCAGGCACAGTGGCAAGCACCTATAATCCCAGCTATTCAGGAGGCTGAGGCAGGAGAATAGCTTGAAACCAGGCGGCAGAGGTTGCAGTGAGCTGAGATCATGCCACTGCACTCCAGCCGGGGCAACAGAGTGAGATTCCATCTCTAAAAAAAAAAAAAAAAAAAAACAGAAAAAGAAATGCATGTTGTTTTAAGCCACTAAGTTTGTAATAATTTGTTATATGGTAATAGAAAACTAATACAGTTTTGGCTGGGAATGGTGACTCATGCCTATAATCCTAGCACTTTGAGAGGCCAAAGTGGGTGGATCACCTGAGGTCAGAAGTTCAAGACCAGCCTGGCCAACATGGTGTAACCCCATCTCTACTAAAAATACAAAATTAGTAGGGCATGGTGGTGCAAGCCTGTAATACCAGCTACTCAGGAGGCTGAGACATGAGAATTGCTTGAACCCAGGAGACGGAGGTTGTAGTCAGCCAAGATTGCACCATTGCACTCCGGCCTGGGTGACAGAGTGAAACTCTGTCTTAAAAAAAGAAAACTAGGCCAGGCGCGGTGGCTCAAGCCTGTAATCCCAGCACTTTGGGAGGCCGAGGCGGGTGGATCACGAGGTCAAGAGATCGAGACCATCCTGGTCAACATGGTGAAACCCCGTCTCTACTAAAAATACAAAACATTAGCTGGGCATGGTGGCGCGTGCCTGTAATCTCAGCTACTCAGGAGGCTGAGGCAGGAGAATTGCTTGTACCCAGGAGGCGGAGGTTGCAGTGAGCCGAGATCGCACCATTGCACTCCAGCCTGGGTAACAAAAAAAAAGAAAACTAATCATATGCTAGACCGAAGGGCTATTGGGAAAATAAATAAATAAATAAATGAAAGAAAAAGAAAGCTAACACAGTTTTATTAGATATTTAATGGGCTACATAATACTATGGGTCACATCATTTGACCCTAGGGATATAAAAATTGGCTGAGAAAAGTTAACATTACAACCAGACTCTACTATAGCAATATAATAGATGTATCGAAGGACATTAAAAGAATTACTAATATCAGGAAAGAGGCTTGATATAGGAGAGCTGCTGTGATCAAAGCCAAGTTAAAACAAAACTATTAAAAGCAATACTTTTAAAGAAAACAAAAAACTATAAAAACAATACAACAGAGGTGAATAAGGATGATTTTTTTTCAACTTGTAAATAGAAAGGTAGGTACAAAAAGGTCGAAAAAAAAGATAACCAGATTTAGTGATAATTTCAATGTGGGAAAAGACAGAAATATCAAAAATAATGTTGAATCTCCATCTTGGAGGTTAGGAAAATGGCAGTACTACCAATCACATAAAGAAGTATTCAAGCTGGGAGAGATGGCTCATGCCAGTAATCTCGACCCTTTGGGAGGCCAAGGTGGGAGGATCACTTGAGCCCAGGAGTTTGAGACCAGCCTGGGCAACAAGTGAGACCCTGTTTATTTATTTATTTATTTATTTTTATTTATTTTTTTTTTTTGAGACGGAGTTTCGCTCTTGTTACCCAGGCTGGAGTGCAATGGCGCGATCTCGGCTCACCGCAACCTCCGCCTCCTGGGTTCAGGCAATTCTCCTGCCTCAGCCTCCTGAGTAGCTGGGATTACAGGCATGTGCCACCATGCCCAGCTAATTTTTTGTAGTTTTAGTAGAGACGGGGTTTCACCATGTTGACCAGGATGGTCTCGATCTCTTGACCTCGTGATCCACCCGCCTCGGCCTCCCAAAGTGCTGGGATTACAGGCTTGAGCCACCGCGCCCGGCCTGACCCTGTTTATAAAAAAATAAAAAAATAAGAACTAGCTTGGCATGGAATATTTTCTCGTTTGCTGTAAATCAGGGCTCAGCAAACTATGGCCTGCAGGCCAAATCCAGCCCACAGCCTGTTTCTGTGAAGAAAGCTTTATCAGAACACAACTGTGTCCATTCGTTCGTGTACTGTTTACGGCTGCTTTTGTGCTACAATAGCAGAACTGAGTAGATGCAGCACAGATTGTATGGTGTGATAAGCCAAAACTATTTTTCTATATGACCCTTTACAGAAATGTTTGCCCACTCCTCCTACAAAACATAGTATGCTGGCTCAGCACAGTGGTTCATGCCTGTAATCCTAGAACTTTTGGGCCAGGAGCCCAGGAGTTTGAGACCAGCCTGGGCAACATGGCAAAATCCCATCTCTATGAAAAATACAAAAAAAAATTAGCAGGGCATGGTGGCGCATACCTGTGGTCCCAGCTACTGGGGAGGCTATGGTAGGAGGATCTTCTGAGCCCCAGAGAGGTCAAGGCTGCAGTGAGCCAAGATCTTGCCACTGAACTCCAGCCTGAATGACAGAATGAGACTCTGTCTAAAAAACTATGTATAGTATGTCCACAGTCCCTGACACATAGCAAGCATGCTTAAGAAATATTAATTAATGAAATTAGGGCTGGGCATGGTGGTTCATGCCTGTAATCCCAGCTACTTAGGAGGCTGAAGCATGAAAATGGTGTGAACCCACAAGGCGGAGGTTGCAGTGAGCTGAGGATGCACACTCCACCCTGGACGACACAGTGAGACTTTGTCTCAAAAAAAAAAAACAACGAAATATTAATGAAATTAGCTGAGTGTGGTAGCACGTGCCTGTCGTCCTGGCTACTTGAGAGGCTGAGGTGGGAGGACTGCTTGAGCCCAGGAGATGGAGGCTGCAGTGATCTGTGATAGTGCCACTACACTCCAGCCTGGGCAACAGAGTAAGATTCTGTCTCTAATACATATGCATATATATGAATATTATCATTAATATTTATTTTTAAAGATCTTTAATAAACAGGCTGGAAAAATATTACCAAGAGTTCTTATTCTTTCCCCTGGTATGAGTGTTTTTGTCTGTTTTTCTTTTTTCCTTTTTTTTCTAAGAGACAGGAGACAGCATCTCACTATATCACCCAGTGTAGCACAGTAATAGCTCACTGCAGTCTCAAACTCCTGGCTCAACTGATCTTCCTGCCTCATCCTCCTGAGTAGCTGAGACCACAGGCATGTGCCACCATGCCCAACATTTTTTTCCAAGAGGTGGGGGTCTCACTTTGTTGTCCAGGCGGGTCTCAACCTCCTGGCTTCAACTGATCCTCCCACCCTGGCCTCCCAAAGTGCTGAGATTACATGTTTTGACTGTTTTAGAGTCTATGGCCCTCATCATTTGCTCCACCCTTTTTTTTTTAAGAGACAGAGTCTCACTGTGTTGCCCAGGCTACGTGCAGTAGTGTGATCATAGCTTACTGCTGCCTGGAACACCTAGGCTCAAGTGATCTCTCCCTTCAGCCTCCTGAGTATTGGGATTACAGGCGTGCATGCGCCTCTCTGGCTCATTCCTCCACCTTTTAATGCAGTGCATTTAGATAAACAATTGATGAAGGTGGAAAAAAGTTAAGATTTTAGCCACAACATTGCCCAAGAATATAATTTAGAGTTTATAAATACATATTTTTAAAAATCAAGTGGCTGAGTGTGGTGGCTTTCACCTGTAATTCCAACATTTTGGGAGGCCAAGGCAGGTGAATCTCCTGAGGTCAGGAGTTCAAGACCAGCCTGGTCAACATGGTGAAACCCCATCTCTACTAAACTAAATCCCATCTCCACTAAAAATACAAAATTAGGTGGGCATGGTGGTAGGCACCTGTAATCCCAGCTACTTGGGAGGCTGAGGCAGGAGAATCACTTGAACCCGAGAAGCAGAGTTTGCTTCTGAGATCGTGCCATTGCACCCTTGTCTCGGGTGACAAGAGCAAAACTGTCTCAAAAAATAAAAATAAAAAATCAAGCAGACTGTATGCAGAACTGCAGAATCACAGTTTCTGTGACAAAGTATGCTACTGTTCCCCACTATACATTCTTTCATTCTTCTTTTTAATAACAGATGTCCTCTTTACCATCCAAAACTAAGTTAGGCACATAGCTGCCCAACTACAGACACATTTCCAGCCTCTCTTGCAGCTAGGTGTGGCCATGTGCCTAAAGTTCTCACCCAGAGAATGTAAGCAGAAGTGTTACATGTCTTGTTTAAAAAGGAAGCTTGTTTGCCCTCTACTTCTCTTTTTTTTTTTCTTTTTTAACTGGAATGCCCTCTACTTGTCTTCCTGCTTCACATAGGGTATAATGAAGTCATCAAGGTCAGCCAGCTTCCACTACAAGGATAAAGACAACATGATAGAAGAAAACAGAGTAACAAAAGGGGGAAAAAAAACTCAGGTCCCTGGCTCACCTTGTGTATGGAGCCTGAATATCTACTCTGAACTGTTATGTGAGAAAGATTTCAATTACAATCTTCTTTGGGCCACATATATTAGAGTTTCTCTCTTTTTTTTTTTTTTTTTTTTTTGAGACAGGTTTTTGCTCTTGTTGCCCAGGCTAGAGTGCAATGGTGCAACCTCAGCTCACTGCAACCTACGCCTCTCAGGTTCAAGCTATTCTTGTGCCTGTGTCCCAAGTAACTGGGAACAAGGTGCACACCACCACTCCCAGCTAATTTTTGTATTTCAATAGAGACAGGGTTTTACCATGTTGGTCAGGCTGGTCACGAACTCTTGACCTCAGGTGATCCATCCACCTCAGTCTGCCAAATTGCTGGAATTACAGGCGTGAGCCACCATGCCCAGCCTAGAGTATCTTTATTACAGCAGCATACCCTATGTATTAATAAACTCTCCAAAGTCACTTACTATAAATTCACACGATTGTATTGTAAATGAGGCTTCTATAACTCCTGCTTTTGCAATTTTTCTGTTGTGTAGATATAAGGATACTCTGGGAAATTCTAGTGGAGATCCCCTGGCTTTTAATGTGTGATGAGTCATTTGGTCTTTTTCAAGTTCACCAGACTAGGACAAAAGAAAAAATTATGCTAAGAAAATCCTTGTACCCTTAATAATCTAGAGAGACAGAGATAACTCAGCCTGTGCCAATTAATCTGTTCATCACAGAAGGAAGGAGAGAAACAAAAAGAGTGAAATACACTTGGAAGGGGGTGAACAGAGAAGTTGGAGAATTATGTGCTTTGGAAGGTGCTCAACAAGAATAGTTAATAGGTTTCAACTACAAAGTCCCAATGCCTTCTAAAAGATCTTACTTCTTAGCTGCCAATGTGTTCAGGCGTGATAACTCAGTTTCTGTTTCTCTGAACATCAGTCCTAGGGTCTGTATAATTTCAATGCATGCCCTAGAAAATAAAATGATAAAAGGCAAGGAAATGACATGATTTCATCAGAAGCTCAGAATTCCACAAAAGTAGTAATCTTTGCTAAAACTGCTGCCAGATATTCATATAGAAAAAAGTACAGGAAATAAATTCTGTACATCAAATTGCTAACTTTGGCTAAGTGCCTACTCTGACTGCTACACAGTAAACACTCAAAAACATTTGCTGGTGGGGCACAGTGGCTCACACATTACTCATACTGTAACCCCAGCACTTTGGGAGGCCCAGATGGGCAAATGGCCTGAGCCCAAGAGTTTGAGACCAGCCTGGGCAACATGGCGAAACCCCATCTTTACAAAAATTAGCTGAGTGTGGAACTCGGGAGGTTGAGGCTGCAGTGAGCCATGATCATACCACTGCACTCCAGGCCGGGTGACAGAGTGAGAACTTGTCAAAAAAAAAAAAAAAAAAAAAAGTTGAATGAATGAATAGCTGGATTTCAGTACTAAAGCATTTTTACATTCTTTTTTGTATGTATGTTTTTTCGAAAGTTTTTAGGATAATCACACACTTATAAAATTATTGTTTAACTTTTTAATATTTTCAGAGAGGTAATATTTGGCTCAAAATGTCAATGGTAAAAAAAAGAATACAGTGAAAGTTGTCTCTCCTCCAGATATCCATTTTTCTCACTTTCAGACAACAAATATTACTAGTTTCTTGTGCAGCCTTCCATTAAAATTAGAACAAAATGAAGGCTATTTTTTAAAATCCACAGAAAGAGGTCAGGCACGGTGGCTCATGCCTATAATCCCAGCACTTTGGGAGGCTGAGACAGGTGTATCACCTGAGGTCAGGAGTTTGAGACCAGCCTGGCCAATATGGTAAAACCCCGTTTCTACTAAAAATACAAAAATTAGCCGGGTGTGGTGGCATATGCCTGTAATCCCAGTTGCTTGGGAGGCTGAAGCATGAGAATTGCTTGAACTCACGAGGTGGAGGTTGCAGTGAGCCAAGATCATGCCACTGCCCTCCAGCCTGGGCAGCAGAGTGAGACTCCGTCTCAAGAAAAAAAATAAATAAATGAAAATAAACATAAAATAAAATCCATAGGAAGAAAAACTTGCAGTGCCATTAATCATTAATACAGTATATATTTTGTCCAGTGTCCTCCATTTATCTTTAACACCCTAGCAAAAAAAAAAAAAAAAATCGATGATTATCTAGTTAGTACTTACACCAGCTCGTCAACCCTTTGGCTTTGATTTTGAAGTCCATTCTTATCCCTAGACTCAGGCAGGTACTCATGAAGTTTGTTTACTAGGAAATAGAAAAGGTCACTGGTCTGTGAAATCAAGTGGAGGAAAAAAAGGCGGTCATTAAGGTATCTGTTGTTAAAATCCTCTATTCTCCTGTACTAAAAGTATAAAGAAATAGTTTGTTCTTTGATTAGAGAAGTGAATTACAATATCTCCCATTAATACTAGCATAACCCAAATTGGAAACATACTTCTAACTTACAACCAAAAGACCACTGTCCTGGTATCAGAGCAAGGGCTAGGGGGTGATGCCGGGAGGTGCCACTTAGACCTGGCTGATCATTAACCTTGAAGAGCATCCAGAAGTAGGTGTGTAATCTCAGGCAACTCATTCAGCCACCTTGAAAAATGGGGCTCCTATAATTTCTGCCTTTCCAGAGTAATTTGGCTTTTGTGAGGATATAATGAATAATGAATAAGCAAGCTCTTGTTTAAAATGTTTACTAACACAAAAACAAATGGACAGCACTAGGCTAGCTTATGGAAACCATGCAGAACAATAGTAATTCTTCTGATAATACAGTGGAAATGTAGATTGCCATTTCTGTCAAAATAAACACTGACTTAGAGTTGGGGAACCCATTTTTGTGTGTTCCTGTCCAGTCTCATGACAAATTAAGCATGAAAGTAAACACTGGCCCCTGAAATCAGGCAAGTCAGCATTGATGAGAAATGTAATTGCTTTTTTTTTTCTATTTCTCTATTGCTCGTTTTTTCCCCAGGATTTTGGTTTACTAGTGACAATTTAGGCTTTTTGTTTAGAAAGTGTATGTGTGCCCTTATTCAGGTGATATGGTATGAAAAGAGGCTGGGAATGTTGTGGAGAAAGGAAAAAGAGGAAGAGGAGCGGGATGAATACCAGAAACTCTCAGAAGTGCTTGGGCTTTGAAAGAAGGAAGGACTTGGCGGGGCGCGGTGGCTCATGCCTGTCATCCCAGCACTTTGGGAGGTTCAGGTGTGCAGATCCCTTGAGGTCAGGAGTTTGAGAGCAGCCTGGCCAACATGGCAAAACCCTGTCTTTACTAAATACACAAAAATTAGCTGGGTGTGATGGCACGTGCCTGTAATCCCTAATCCTAGCTGCTTGGGAGGCTGAGGCGGGAGAATCACTTGAACCTGGGAGGTGAAGGCTGCAGTGAGCTGAGACTGCGCCACCGCACTCCAGTCTGGGCAAGCGTGAGTAAGACTTAAAAAAAAAAAAAAAAAAAAAACAAAGGCTTACCCAGTACTTCATAAATGAGCATAGTGTGGTGGTTTCACAGACTCTAGAGTTATAGTCTTTGAACTCAAATCCCAGCTCAGCTCTGCCACTGGGTAGTTGTGTGACATTTGGCAAATTACTTATACTCTCTGTCACTCAGGTTTTTTTTTCTTTAAAATAGGGTTAATAATACCACCTCATGGGGTTGATATTACATTTAAATAAGATAGTATGTATCTGTAAAGCTTCAGCAGTGCTAAGCACTTAACAAGTGTTTAATAAGTATCATTTGGCTGGGCAAGGCCGGGCACAGTGGCTCACGCCTGTAATTCCAGCACTTTGGGAGGCCGAGGTGGGAGGATTGCTGGAGGTCAGGAGTTTGAGACCAGCCTGGTCAACATGGTGAAACCCCATCTCTACAAAAAAAAAAGAGAGAGAGAATAAATATCACTTGTTATTATGACCTCCCACCTGCTCACTGATTCATGAATTTTCACTTATAAAATATCATCCATCTACCTGCAATGACATGGAGGAATCTCAAAAATATGCCAAAAGAAGCCAAATGCAAAAGAGTACTCCAAATGCAAGAGTACTTAGTGCAGAATTCCATCTAAGTGCAATGCTAAGAAAGGCAAAACTCATCTACAGTGACAGAAAGCACATCAATAGTTGCACAAGGCCAGGAGTGTGAGAGAACTGGCAGCCAAAGGGCACAAGGTGACTTTCTGGAGTGACAGAAACATTTTCTATCTTGATTGAAGTAGTATTAATAGTTACATGAATATAGACATTTGTCAAGACTCTTCAAACTGTATCTTTAATTATGGATGCATTTTATTTTATGTAAATTATACTGCAATAATTTCTTTAAAGAAGAGAGATGAATGGTCAATAAGCACATGAAAGATGCTCAACATTGGCCGGGCGCGGTGGCTCAAGCCTGTAATCCCAGCACTTTGGGAGGCCGAGGCGGGTGGATCACGAGGTCAAGAGATCGAGACCATCCTGGTCAACACGGTGAAACCCCGTCTCTACTAAAAATACAAAAAATTAGCTGGGCATGGTGGTACGTGCCTGTAATCCCAGCTACTCAGGAGGCTGAGGCAGGAGAATTGCCTGAACCCGGGAGGCGGAGGTTGCGGTGAGCCGAGATCGCGCCATTGCACTCCAGCCTGGGTAACAAGAGCGAAACTCCGTCTCAAAAAAAAAAAAGAAAAAAAGAAAAAGAACATAGAAAACTCTTTCATCTACTCATTTATTCATTTAGTGAATGCATAATTATCAATTGCCAGCTATGTGGCAGGTATGCTAGATAATGAGATAACATCTTGAGCAAAACAGACAAATAGACATGTGTCTCTTCTCCTAAAATCTGGAATTTAGTCAACCTATGAAAAAGTGTTCACAGCCTATAATCTCCGGCCTATAGTCCCAGCACTTTGGGAGGCCAAGGAGGGGTGGGTCGCTTGAGCCATAGAGCTCAAGACCAGCCTGGGCAACATGTGAAATCCCTTCTCTATAAAAAATACAAAAATTAGCCCGGGATGGTGGTATGCACCTGTAGTCTCAGCTACTCAGAGTGTGGAGGTGGGGGGATCACTTGAGTCCAGGAGGTGCAGGTTGTAGTGACAGAGATGGCACCACTGCACTTCAGCCTAGATGACAGAGTAAAACCCCATCTCAAAAAAAAAGTTTTACCTTCAATAAAATTAAAAAATAAAGACCGCTTAAAAGAAAAAAGTATGCCTCAATAAAGTTGATTTTTAAAGGGAGGGAAAAAACTATATATATATATACACATATATATGTATATATATAGTTTTTTAATATCTATAATAAATATCTCTATATATTATAGTGTATCTATAATTTTTAATATCCATAATATGTATATTATATTATATATATTTATAATTTTACATCCTATTACAGGAAGCAAAAATTAAAGATACCTGTGATGGTTAATTTTAGATGTAAACTTGGCTAAATTAGGAGTACTAGAGAACTGGTAAAGCATTATTTCTGTGATATCTGTGAAGGTATTTCCAGAGGAGACTGACATGTGAGTTGGGAAATTGTGTAGTTCTGTCTCTCTGGAGAATCCTGATACAGATTTTAGTACCAAAAGTAGAATTGTTGCCATAAGGAATACCAAAAAATGTGGAAGTGGCTTTGGAATTGGTAAATGGATAGAGGCTCGAAGAACTTGGAGGAGCAGGCTAGGAAAAGCCTAGATTGCCATAACTGGAGCATTAAAGGTGATGCTGGTGAGGTCTCAAAGAAAGAGGACAGATGTAGGGAAAATCTGAAACTTCTTAGACATTTCTTAAGTGAAAGAGTGAAAGATTATTCTCCAGCTTTAATACAATATTATTTTCCCTGTTGGGTTTTGGACTTACTTGGCCCTTTCCTCTTATGTCTTCCTTTTGGAATGGGAATGTCCATTCTCTGCCCATCCCACCACTGTATTTTGGAAGTAGATAACTTGCTTGATTTACAGGCTGATAGCTGGAGAGGAATTTGCCTCAGGATGAATCCTGTCTTGAGTCTCACCCATACCTGATTTAGATGACAATTGGTACTTTGGACTTATGAGTTGATGCTGGAATGAGTTAAGACTTTTGATGCTATTGGTATGGAATAAATGTATTTTGTATGTAAAAAAGACATGAATTTTGGGGACCAAGATCAGAATGTTGTGGTTTGAATGTTTTAGAAACTAATCTCCCAAAGTTCATGTTTTAGAAACTAATCCCCAATGCAACCGTGTTAAGAGGTGGGACCTTTAAGAGGTTGATTAGGTCATGAGGCTTCTGCCCTCATAAATGGATTAATGTCATTATTGTGGGACTGGGTTTTTAATAAAAAGATGACTTTGGCCCCCTTCTACCCTTTTTTTTTTTTTTTTTTTTTTTTGCATGCTCTTTTACCCATCTGCCTTCTCATGGATGACACAAGAAGTCCCTCACAAGATGCCAGCACCTTGGTATTGGACTTCCCTGCCTCCAGAACTGTGAGAAATACATTCATTTGCTTTATAAATTACCAAGTTTGTGATATTCTGTTATAGCAATACAAAATGGACTAAGACAATGGCCCTAATCTCTCCACCCGGCATGGGTTTCTAAGAGGGCTTCACAGAATGTATGTTTTCCAAGAAATATAGCATAAGTTGAAAAACCACTGCTTTACCTTAATGCTATGATAACCTTTTAAGTAAAAAAATCTTAAAGCATGTTGACTTTAATTAGTCATATATGCTAATTTTGTGAAAGCGAATCTGAGGATAGATTTTGGTTGTGGACTAGACAGAAGAACATAAGGCTATTGGGTTTGATGGCATGGTTGGGGAATAGGACCAAGGGGGACTCCACTGAAGTGTAGAAAGACCCCAAACAGAGAGACTACCCATTGACTTTCTATTTCCTTCTCCATTCACTTTGGCCTTTCATTTTTGACCACTGAATTAGAAGATCTATTTTAGCCCAGGTAAGAACATTACATTAAATAATGGCTGCCGTGTTTTCAAGTCTGAAACAGATCAGGAAAGTTTTATTTTTAGACAGTGGATTAGGTTCATATTTCACAAGAAAACAGATTTGCAATTTAATGTGAATAGCTTACAGTACCTGGAATATGCATGCATTGTGTTTGGCTTTGGGAGAATACAAAGATAAGTAAGACATATACCTGTACTAAGAAGCTTATAGCATATTATGATAAATAAGAAAATATACCAATAACTGTAGTAAAAGGGAGGATATTTGTGCTAATTCTTGAGGATAGGAACTGTATCATAATCGTGCTATATTTCTAATACCT